CATAGATCTATTATTGTATAGATCTTCACTTGATTAATTTAATCAAAAAGTCCTAAAATCAAAGGTGATGGATACATATTCTTCATGATGATCTTATTAAATCTTCAATAGTCCACATATATCTGCAAAGATCTATCTTTTTTCTTCACAAATAAGATAGAAGCCCTAGTTAGAGATTTAAAATGGGAGATGAAGTTCTTAGCGAAATTTTCATCAATGTATTCTTTAAGTGCATTCACCTTATTTTTTAATAGGCTATACATTGATCCAAATGTTGGTTGAGCTCCTTCATGAAGATGAATGGAACAATCATAAGGATGATGCTTTGAAAGAATATTTACATTTTTTTGTTAAAAAGATTGTGGTATTGTTAATATTGGATTGGAATGTGATTTGAAATCTTTTTTCTATCAACAATAGGTGTGGTGTATGTAAAACAAATTGACCTTTCTTTTACAACAAGCATGAAAGTACTTGCACCTATCAATAATAATTTGGATGTATTGATCTTATGAATTTTTACTTGTATAGTAGAATCTTGAGCTAAACTATGGAAAGAATCAAGATTACAAGAAATCTAATCTATTTGAGGGTTATACCTTTGTAACCATGATAATCCTAAAATAATTAAATTAAAAGGAGATCTAATTATATTAAATATTATTAAATTATTTTAACCACTAATTACTACTTTTAAAGTAATAGTCTCATGTGTAACATCCCTAAAAGATAATAAATGATCATATATTACTTCTACATGTACAAATTTGGTTTTCTTAACTAAAGATATATCTTGTTTTTTTAACAAAGTCTTTGTTTATAAAAAATATTGAGGCTTTTGAATCCAAGAAGGCTAACGCTTTGTAATTTTTTGGCCCTAAACAAACTTCTATTGTAAAATAAGGTGGAAAATTTGAAAAGAAAATAGGACCTTTACTAAGAATTGCATAAGATTTTAGCCACACAGTCCTTATTGTAGTTGAAGAAACTTGTTTTTTGACAAATCATCTTCTATGGCAACCATGCTCCTCATTTTGAAATTGCATTGTTTTTTTGAATTATGTTATAAAGTGTGTTTGGATTCTCTACAATATAGGTACAAATCTTTATGACAACAACAAATCTTTTCATGCTTAGTAAGAGATTTAAAATATATCATATCAATTTACATTGGTTTTGACTTTGATAAATAAGTTTTTGAAAACTAAAGAATTACTGTCATTGTTTGATTCATTCTTCTCCAATCATATCTTTGTTCGTAATGCCTTTCAAATAATTGATTTTTGCATGCAATAGATTAAACAATAAATTGTTCTATATGTATAGGATTAGTGTTTTTTTAGTTGGCGCTAGTAATCCATGAAATTTCCACCTTAAGAGTGTTGACAAGTTTGTAAAGATCTCAGTTTTGCCAAAAGTAGCATCCATAATTTTTCCTTCTATTTCAAATAACTCAAAAAATTCACAAGTCAAATTAAAAGAAGGCAATCTACAACCTCTAATGTCAAATTAGAAGAAGGCAATCTACAACCTCTAATATCAAATGAAAATTTCCACAAAGAAAGGTAATTCACTTTTTTTAAGATAAAAATCAATGTTAGAAAACTAAATGATTTGTTTAAAGGTGGATAATCAACAACCTTCAAAATACAATAATAGAAGTATAGTAATCCACAATCTTTGAAATATAAAAATAGTAGTAGAATAATTCACTCACTTCTAAAATAAGATAAGAAAAAATGAGTTAGCACTCTTTTCAAACTATCAAGGACATGAATTGCAAAGAACTAAAATGTTAGTATACTCTAATGTTACTTAAAAATACTAAAAAATCACTTAAAGATGATATAGTACTAAACTAGAATGACTATTGCCAAAGACAAAAAGATTAAAGAATCTTAAAATAAGACTAAGGATTAGAAAGACATTAACAAGAATGGAGAAGGCTTCACTCTTGCTTTCCATATATACTCTTAATTAAGTACTATTTAGCGATGTCTTATAGGACTTTCAAATTTTTTTGACTTTGTAAGACATGTATCTTAACTTGCAAGGCAAGTTTTTTATATGTGTGCCACATAGTTAACTTGTTTTGCAAGCTATCAAAATATAATTAATTTTTTTACCAAGTTTCTAGCCTACTAATCAACAACAAACATATGTAAAGTCAAAGCAACATCTATAAAGCTTCTATGAAGCTTTTTTAAAAAATATTATGAAATAAACCTACTTTTATTTATTTCTACTGAATCATATAAGTAAATATTAGAATAAATATGTATGTTTGTGATATTAGATTGATTTTCATATATCTATATATATATATATATATATATAATTAAATAAATATTTTTAATATTTTCTAATAATAAAATTTAATTTTGAAGATTTTATGAACTTTTATTTTTATTAAATATAGCTATTCTATAAATAAAATTTAAATTAATTATTGATCTAAGAAGAGATGTTTTAAAATAATAGAATTTTAATAAAACGTTTATTATTAAAAATTAATAACTTAAGAGCATTACTTTGATATAGAATAATTTTAAATACCATGATATTTATATTGAAAAATAAAATTCATATATAATATTATTAAAAAATTATTCATCACATAATTTTTAATCTAAAAAGTTAGATATTTATAATATAAAAACTATTTTAAGTAATTTAGTAGATTCTATTTATATATATATTGGTTTTAAATTATAAAAAGTTGTAATAAAATGTTACAAATACATTGCCTTGTTTATTTTATGCATGATTTCTTAAAAAAAAGTATTTGCTATTCTACATTTCAATACACCATATATATTTTTTTAAAATTTTTATTTAAATATTTTATATTCTAGTATAATAAAATACCTGTCAAAAAATAAATTGGTATGTTATAGTTATGATAAAATATAAAAATATAAAATATAATAATTATTTTAGTATATAAATAAATTTAAAATTTAAAATTTATTTTTTACAGATATATTTATATTTATAAAAAGAATTAATATAAAATTTTAAATTTATACATGATTAAGTATAAATCATTCAAAAAATTGAGTTTATTTTTTGATTAATGCTTTGTGTGTGTATATATATATTATTTGTATTTAAATAATTTAATTTTTTATATTATTTTGCTAATGACTTAAAATCCTTAAGTTATTAAAATTTGGATGAATGTAAATGTTTTAAAATCTAAATCCATAGAAAAAATTTAAGAGTAACTCCAAGTTTTATTTAATTTAAAAATATTTTTTTTAAAATTGGTTTCAAAAAAAAATTAACAGTTTTTTTGGAATTCTTGAATATTTTTTAGACTTGCATTTTAATTAAAAAATCACATTTTACCATGTTTTTTTTTTTAAGTCCTTCATTGTTTTTTAAAAAAAGAGGTTATTGTAATGCATATTTTGAAATTTATCAAAATTTTCCAAAAAAGGGGCATATATTTAAAATTTTATTCTTATAGTATGTTTTTTTTTTTTACATATTTTGAAACTAAAAAATCGTAATAAATAAATTATACCCGTGGTTATGAATCTTAATTTCATCAATGATATTCATTCTATAATAATTTGTTAATGTCACAAAGGGGTGGCAAGCTTTGTTAATATAGTAAAAATAATTAATGAAGCCTAATCCAAGGATGAAAAGAGATTTATACATTGTTTTTTTCCAATCTCGTATCAGAAATAATATTTGATACCCAAATCTATTGTTGTGATCTACATTCCAGTGTGCTAACTTACACAGTCAAAGAAGGAAGATCCCTTGTATGCAGCTTCCAATCAGCCTAGAACCTAACAACATCAAAATGACAATCTCAGCTTCTCACTGATTTTGAATTTGATTAAAAGGATTTATGGATTTAACCATGTGTCAAAAAGAAGTAAAATTTATTTTATTAATTTGGCACAAAGGACTGGCCAATAACTTGTGGAGAGCAAAACTGGATACAAAAATCTTTAACCATTGCACTCTTTGCTTTTTTATAAAAATGAATTTTTTTACAATTTTTTTAGAATAGCCTCTCATCCTTGCAATTGGGGGTTTTAGAAGGCATTTGCATAAAAAAAAAAAAAAAAAACCATTTTTGGCTCTAAAATCCATCCCAAAGTGAAGAGATTTAAGATAATGTAGATTTTTATTAAAGAAGTATTAAAGAAGACATGCAATTGTATTTGAATCAAAAGTTTGGAGCAGCTCCAAAGTAAGACAAGCATCTTAGTGTGATATCCAAGATTACAAATATATGGCATGGAATAATATCCAAAACAAATCCTAAAACTTCTCATCTAATCAATGAAACTCTTAAAATTGTGGCATACACAAAACACAATTATTTGGTACTAAAGTAGGGATGAAAATACACTAGAACAGTAGGCTTGATTATCCACTCTTCAACTGACCCAAATTAAAGTAGGTGGTAAGACAAAATATCCTTAGAGCTTAGGTAGTCGTGTTTATTCAATGTACTTGCTCACAATTGACAATGTGTCAAGTATACCCAATTGTTTAAAAAAAACAGAAAAAAGAACAGAAACATTGACATCAAAATTGCTTGCTGTTCATGTGGGACTTGAAAACTACACCACAAAGTCTACAAACACTACATAACTGATTCCTGGTGTTCCTAGCACATCCAACCGTCGAACTGAAATGCTACATTGGCTAGCGCTTCAGTACTTGTAATGGTCTTCGGATGAGCGACATTGTGTGCTCTAATGCAATATACAAAACGATTTAAATCTTATTGAACGAGCTAATTTAAACTTTTGAAACAAGTTCATAGCATATCAGTTAAGATCTGTTCTAAATGGGTCTTCAATAGTGCAAGCAACCATGTAGATGCTATGTGTATTCCTCGATCCTAAAAGCGTATCAGAGGGTATCCTAAACTTGGAAGAATGAGACAAACAGTGACTTAAAACATTGTAAAGGTGCATGAAGCCCAGAGGATCCGGCTAGATTTGATGCAAACACCCTGGAGCGCTCGCTCTATTAACAAATACTGGAGTAGTCACACAAACAGCCAGCAACTTTTTATAAACTTAGGAAGTCTTGACCATAATCGGTCTACTACAAAGGCATTTAATGTATTCTTAGCAGTTGCTCAAAGGTTATAGAAGTCGTGCACATCTACCTTCAAGCACGAAACTGCAAGTGAATCTCATTCCGACACTGACAGTGTTCCTTAGTTCGTAGTTAAATAGATACAGAAACAAAGAATGCCAATATTCACTATTCTAGGGAGAGATGATTCCTGGAAAAGATGGCCTAATAGAAATCAAAACATCTCCGTACCCAACAGGTTCTGCAGAAAAGAAAACAAGGGTCAAAAGATTTATTTTAAAAAATTGAAAAACAAAGTTCGCTTTGATTCATGTAACTGTGATGCGAGGGAGCTGAATGTAAATACTAACGATGCAACTCTTCAGTTGAAGACAAACGATTTGACATACACAAGATCAATTGAGAGAGAAGTGAGCACAAACCTCCATCCTTCGATAAAACTTTCTCAACTTCGCCAGTGATGTCAGCCTACCATCAAGAGAAAAATCAAATTAGGCATGAAGACATCTCCCATTTAAAAATCATGTTTTCATTAATGGTAGGCCATTCTTTACTAAACAAGATTCCAAGTTTGTCTTAACCGCACATGTATGTATGAAGTAAAGGAATTGGCTTCCGAAACATAGTAGCACAGAATTCTTTGGCTATTAAAATAGTTGGTTAGATTACATCCAGTATATTGATTGTGACAATTAATCCATCTGGAAAATGTGAAAACAGATAAAGAAAGAAAATTTTAGAAAATAACGAGAAGTTCTTTGTATATCCGTGTACCTGTAGACCTACACTGACTATACCACGAGATGAGTTCTCGGTTACACTTCAAGATTATCGAAAGTCGACAAGTTAAAATCCAGTGTTTGATGTTCAGAACGTGTGCTACGCAGGATCTAAGACAGCAGCTAGGGATGGGATAATTACCTCTACGGGTTGCTGCGTGCCAAGCTGTTCCAAGTAGCACACGATTTGCCCCTTCTTGACCACTTGGCCCTAGAGGACGATTTAACAAATATACAAATTAGGGCCCTTCTAATTTATTAACTCCACACGTCCACTTTTTTCTTAATATATTTTGTGACGCGTAGGCATTACACAGGCTTAGGACTGAACCCGATTTCATCTTTCGCTGCTTGTGTTTTAAGTTTGAAAGTCTGCAATACAAGAGCTCTCTAAAACTCCATTGCAAAAGCCAAAATCTTTCTCTTATGCTTTTGTCGCAACACTGCATCCTAGATTTATGAAGTAACTCTCAGGAAAGATTTACCTCTTCGCATAGAGAAGGACCACTCTTCCCTTTCACAGTTCTTCCTTTCCTGAAGAGACCCACCTAATTCCCAAAATGTGCACATGAGATTCAAGTCTCGGAAGACAACGACCCATTTAAACATCACAGAACATACAGAATAAAATGACCGTCTTAAAATGCTTTATGTGAGATTTCCTCTGATTTATCTCCTTTCTCTAGATCAAGGAGTCAGATTTGAAATAAAAATCAAACATCTCCAGTTTCCTCGATTTTGCGAGTCACCACGATGTGAAGCGGTAAAATGGGCGATTCGAAAAATTCACAAGGACAGCAGCGTGAATGACCAAAAAGAGAGTCATGAATCACTAAATAATCTGCAGGGACCCTAAAGATAGGTCGTTCGGGGACAAAAGGTGTGACCATAACATGCAACACAATGATCACGAAAGAGAATCAAGTGTGCAAGCCGATGTCACCTTTGGAGAGGTTATGAAGAGCAGGCCTTCGTCGGCAGCTGCTTCCAAGAAACCAAAATTGAACCCGGGCTTCACGATTGCTGCAGAGAGTTTTGTCTTGGTTATCTTGGTGGACTTGCTCGTTGCGGACGTGCTTGGGGCAGATGGAATAGCGTCACTAGGAAGAGACTCAACCATAGTCTTGCCCAATACTGGAGGGCCTGGGGTAACCGGCTTTGGTGCTTGCGCAACCTTGCCGATTTCCCTTTTCACTCGGAGACTGAAGTCCCCTACCTGTCAACCGTCAATTATCCTGATAACTATGGGTGATGAAAGGCATTATTCAAGCACAATGATCATCATCTGAACTCGTGTTCTGACTAATCCCTGCTGTGATAGACGCGATGCTGCAATATTATCCGCACACTATATGGTAAAGCACAACAGGAGCAGTCAATGCGCACCTTGAGCTCCACCTCAGCGACTTTCGAAGTCTCGTCACAGACTTGCATGAGCAGGTTTTCAATCTGCAAAAAGGATATCATCAAATACGCGAAAAGTACACATCAAGCATGCAGACCAAGTCCTGACGAAGAGAAAGAAGTTCGTAAATCACCTCAAAAGAGGTTGGAGTCAAAGGGCTAAGTTCCTCCTCCTCGTCCTCGAACTCCAGAGCCCCATCGTCTTGTTTCAACTCCAAAACTGCTCCAAATAGATGCTTCAAATTGGGTTAAACTCTACCTTCTCTCCATATCAAGAAACCGATGCCCCTCCCACACAAACAAAAAAAACGAATAACAATAAACCAAAAAAAGGAATCTCGGTACCCACCTCTGGAATTGATGGGGATCGCATGCAGTCGAGAACTCGCAACCGGCACCACTGCGGCCGAGAAACAACGCTTAAGTGGATCCCCGATCCGCGATCCAGACATGGAAATGCATTGTGCAGGTGCAACCACGCTCCCCTGTTTCGCCCCGCCCAGCAACGAAACCTCCACCACCAAACGCCTTGCGCAAAGCGCCATTGCTGAAATCAGGTCCCCGGGATCTCCAAAAACTCTTCCCCAAACCAACACCTTCACAATGCAAAGCTCTCGAATGAAGCTCCAAGTCTGCAGCTTGACAATTCCGCCCAGGTTGTGAAGCGTCCCACCCTCGAAGTGCGTCGTTGTTGCTTGATTGTCAAACTCCGCCTCGGAATCGTCGAAGGATGAATGAGCCAACGAATGCTGTCCAGTGGAATGGAACCATTCGGTCACGAAGCGGCATCTCATCCCTTGAAAACCGATTTGAGACTATTTTCCACTTCTCTGAGAATATTCTCGCAGTGCTCCCTGCTTACATACAAGAGCGAGCTGAATCCAGGTTGTACAAATATAGGCTTCATTCTGCACGTAAGTTGCCTTACAATTGCAAGGCCGTAGGCGTCCTGTTGTTGGTGCTTTTGTGTCTTGGATTGTCCCACCGCCCCGAACTTGTAGACTTTTGTCATTTGATGGTCAACTTTAGTTGTTGTTGTTGTTGCTGTTGTTTATGGTGCTTTCGTGGTGCACATGAGAAGGCTGGAGTTACCCACAATATGCATCAGTCGGTGATGTGAAGCTCGTACCAGGAAGTGCGTCGGCGCAAAAGTCAACACCGGACCTTGATGATTTCGAACCTGGTTTATCTTGCAGATTCAGCTGGGAACTGGATGGAGTAAAAGCTAGAGTTTCTTTGCATCATAATATATTTGTCACAATGAATACCTTGTTGTGATTTGTGAGATGTTTCGTGTGGTTTAACACTTGATGAGAAATCTATGTATATATATATATATATATATATATATATATATTTGTATATATTATAATCATTATTATAGAGGAAACTCATTTAGCAAGCTTAAATGATTGTATAACAGTTGTAATAACTTAAAATCAGTGATATTTGTACATAATAGAGATGTTTTGTGATGAGAATGTATTATAAAGTAGTTACCAAAAAGTACTACAATCTTTAAAGTTGCACAATATTTTTTTTGGTTGAGAATAAAGTTTTTATAATTATTTAAACCTTCTCAAAAAAGATTAATTGTTGAATGAATACATGTAAATTAATCAAGTTTATTCAATTAATTTACTATCATTTTTGCATGATTTTTTTAAAAAATATTGCTAGAAAAATCCAAATTCGTATATATATTCGTATATATATATATATATATATATATTGTATATGTATATTGGGAATTGATTTAAAATATATCTGTGTGTGTATATATATATATATATATATATATTTATATTTTTTTTACTCATTTCTAAAGAAAATAAATATATAAAGTAAATCTTATATTAATATTTCACATTTCTTACTTATAACATGTGTACCATCACATCCTTACCAATTAAAATAATAATAGATTATATATATTCATATCATACTAGAATATATTTTACCAAGTCAATGATATTTTTTATCCCAATAGATTAAACTAAGTACAAAGTACTTATGATTAGAGTTGGAAACAAGGATAAAAAAACACATAGATGGTGGACATAGGGAGGGCAAGGGACAAGGATGGAGGCTAGGAATAAAGCCAAAAGATGGTTCAAGGTGAGGTAGAATTGATTTGAAACGATTTAAACCTATGATTTTGAATAGTTCTAAGAAACTCAATTAATCAATGATTTTTGTGGATATATAAATAGACAAACTGACAAAAACCCTTTTCTATAAATAGATATATATAAATATATAGAATCTTGCTATACAATCTACAATCAACTTGATATATTTTTTAACTTTTTAATTTAGTATTACTTATCATCATTTTAAATAAAGATTTTTTTAAGCAAATGGTTTGAAAGGTTTTATATAAAGATGGTATGTATTGGATAGAGGATTGTGGCGGTAGTAGCAAAATTGTGGTGGTAATAGTAATACCCTATATGCAATATTCATTTCAATAGTCAATTTCCAAAATTTTAATAATTTTTAACAATCAATTGATTTTTTTGGAATTGAATTTGTTCTATGATATTTGATTTCCAATAACAAAAGATTTTTAGTTTTTTTATTAACTAATATAAATTATTAACAAGGCTACATAGTCAGTTAAGTCATATGGCTATATACGATTGAATAAGGCAAGGCCACATGATTATTTGTAATTAGACAAGGCAAGGCTATATAGTTGTAAAGACAAAATCATGCAACCTAAATTGTAGGATCTTGACAAGGATGATTTCCATCCTACCTTCAATGTGCCACCTCTAATTATTATTAATATTTGATATTTATTATTTATTGCAAATAATAATAATAATTAACAAGATGAATATTGTGTATGTGTATATATATATATATATATATATATTTGTTTATATATTTAATGGTATTTATTTTTTAAATTTATTTTTTAAATCTGTTTATTTAAGAGAACATGTATTTGTAAGATTTTCTTAAAAAATTATATATAGTGAAATTCTAGAAAATACTTATAAAATCCATTTCTAATATATTTTGATTTATTTTAAATTTTACTTGTAATTAATCATAATATTGTAATAAAGCTTTTTTAATTGAAGTATTTTTTTTAAAGTACATATATCTCTAGAATTTTAATTTCTTCGTCTTCTTCTTATGATTATTATTATTATTATTATTATTATTATTATCATTATTTATTTTTATATTGATGTTATTAATTAATAAAATAAATTTTCATTCAATTCTAATATATCTTTAAATGTGTATAAGATTTTTAATTTAAATATGCAACAAATAAATAAATAATCATTAATATTAATATAGTTTTATTTATTCCTAATATTATTTAGCCCTAGACCACAAAATTAGAAATTGCAAGGCATTCACAAGTATCAAAAGGAAGCAAGGAAGAACACAAGTAGTTCAAATTTAATACGAAACTTAATACAACAACCAATCATATAAGTGACTTGAAAAAAAAGTGAAAAAATATTCATATATATATATATATATATATATATACATATTTGGTGATTTTAAAAAGGATTGAGATCATATATACAAATCATTTTATAATTATAGTATATTATTGAAAAATAAAACTCTACAACTAAAAGTTGAAATCAATGACATATATTATAAAGAAAATAAAAATCCATAGTATCAAAAAACAATGATTATTATAAAAAAAATCCTAATAAATAACTCACATTATACAAGGAATTAAATAATATTTTTTTCAGACTTAAAAAAGATGATAAAAATTCAAAGATTTTTATTTATTTTATTTTTTTCTCTTCATTGCTAGAGAATTCAAATCCTCAAGTGATTAATTTGAAATTAATTAATAAAATAAGCACTAGATCGTGGTAGAATGTAGTGGTATTAGAAATTATAAAGAAAAAAAAATACATATAAAGAAAATTATGCTAATAAAAACGGAAATTTCAATTTAGATAGAAAAGATTAAAAATTATAATTTTTTTATAATAATAAATGCAATCAACTTATGATATGTCGTTGAAAATAATTACCAAGTAAATAGTTTTTTTTTCTTTAATAAAATGAAGTCTCACATTGAAACATATAATTTTTGGAATTTCAAAACCACTTTGCATCTAAATAATGTAAAGATGATAAGAAAAGAGGTAATAGAACTACAGCTTTGTATGTTTATACCAAATTGAGTCATTGCTAGCTTAATGTTTTTCTACTAACAATAAAAGAAATAATATTTGAGGGACTATCTTCTTACACAATGAATTTAAAATCACCTAGTATGATCATAGAACAAGCATATAAATTAATACATAGCCAAGAGCACATAATGGAAGGCTTGCAAAATAAGTGGATCAGAAGATCTAATAGAGCAATGTGCAGTGTCTATTCAGCTTGTGACAACATTTATATTAAGATAATAGAATAGACCTTGTTTTAAACCATTGAATTAAAAAGAAGAAGGTTTTTTCCTATAAATTATATATATTGAACAAAATATACATCTTTTAAAAATCAAAGTAAGAAATGATATTTATAAAATAATTATAAAAAATATTATTGAATATAAAAGATTCTTTAGAAAATTGCTTGTAATGACATGAAAAAATAATTAGACGATTGTGCAATTTTTTTACAAAGATAGAATAAATCATAAATATCCATAAAGGTAATATAGATAAAAATTGGTATAAAAAATATAAATAACACTAAAAGCCCACAATATAGATTCATAAACATATAACGATAAATAAAGAATAAAAAAAAATTCCATGTCAATTTTATAAATATATGTTGTGTACACTTCATTTTATCTTTATTATAGGAAGTAAAGATTTATGAAACTTTAATTTCAATCTCTTAATAATCTAAACCTCCACATAAATCCCATCTTCAACATTTCAATCCCATCACATCTTAGACACTAGTGATTTAAAAACGTGTTGACGGCATTAAATGCGAGAGGAGTCAATACCATATGGTTTGGAGTTGTTGGTTTAGTTGAATCTGGCTCGATGCTTTCGTCGGCGTTCACACGGGGCAGTCGAGGAGGATGCAAAATAGCTAGAAGAGGGCAGACCCATCCACACGGTCATCATCTCCTTCGCATCGTTGGCTTCTTTGTGTGTGAGTGTGTGTGAGAGAGTGTTTGTGTTGTGGGTGGGTGGCTCTCTCCCTCCTCTGCTCTGCTCTGCTCTTGTTAGTTGCAGAGTCCTTTTTCGTGTGTGCTTCGCTGCATCTTACACCTTGTGGGGATCGATTACTGTAGTACTGCACTGTAGACATCGTGCTTGGGTGGGAAGGAACTGCTGAGCGAGCGCTGGAGGTATGCGAATTGGTTTAGGGCAATTTTGATGTGTTCCATCGGGCATAGTAGAACATTTGTGTATGTTGAATGGTATTGGGTTGCTTGAATTTGCAGCCCAAATCAGTGTGGTGTGAATGAGGACACCTTGTTGATTAAGTTTCAGGAAGAATTATCTCGTTTTTGGAGGAAGATTGTGTTTGGTATAGTGATGTGCAGTCAATTCTTGTTCTGTGAGAGAATTGGATGTGGAAGCTTTGTAGAGGGTTTATTCGGAAGCGAATCTCCTTCTTGAAATTCACTATTCATCTATAAGTAGCTGGATTGAAGAACCATGAATTGATCGAAGTATTGTAGCAATTGTGGGAAATGAAGTGGACGCGATCAAAGACAATTTCCATCACAAAACTATGAGGGTTTTGTGATCCTCCAGCTGAATGTATGTGTTCATCTGGGGGTGCGCGGAGTATGGGAGGATGGTCAGCCCTAAACTGAGCCGCACAGTCCTCCTTACAGCTTTTGTACAGGGATGCATTACGTTATTCGCACCATCTTGCCTCTTTTTCAGGCTTTGATATGAAGCTTTCATTTGAACTCTAAGTTTCTTAAAAGAAATAAAAAGTCAATCAGTTGCCCTCAATACACAGCAGAAATCCAGCGGAACAAGGCCAGTTGCAGTCATCTGCCAAAGATTAGATTTTGTACAAGTAAGATTAGGCTGAATACGTGTAATGTGAAAGGGATTATGCGTTTTGAGGTGAGGTTTGGCGATATTTACAGCATTATCAGTAGTGTGCGCTTTTCTAAAGAGTTTCTGTTGATGGGCTGTGTCTTGATGCTAATGATGCCGGATTGTTATGGATTCAGGATGTTGGGATACTCCAGGGCAGAATAGAAATGGCTGTTTATCACAAGCCTACCAGCATGGACCGAAGCGGAAGTAATGAGCTCACTCAGGAGAGGAGTGTCCCTAAAGAACTTGCATCCAGCAGAGGCCGGAAGGTCTTGGTGAGCAAATTCATGTATTTTATTATCATTCTATGTTTTATGATGTGGTTTTTTGAGTCTCAAAAACAGTTTTTAAATTTACTTGGACAACTGCCGTAGCGAGCACAATCACAAACGGGATGTATCCTGGTGAGAGTTGCAACCCTCTCATTTGCACAAGGGAATGCAGGAAGTGGGCGATGACGGGAGTGGTCGGTGTGGCATTTGCTCAGGACATGTTGCAATTCGTGGTGTGCTTGATTGCTGCAGTCACGAGTAAGTTGATTCATTATAAAGTATCGAAGTAGATGAAGCCTTGTGTTACATCTTGTTAGACAAGTTCGATTTTTTGTCTGCTTTTATGTTCTGTCCCGATGGAGTTGAACCCTGTAACAATTACATTTCTTGATATATACTAGTAGTGCATGGAAAATTTTCGTCTATGGCAGTGCTTGTGAGTCTTCAAACGGTCAAGATTACAGGTATTAAATTTTGGGAATCTTTAGAATTAACTAGCAATTGATAAGATACTCTAAATTCTTATCTGTTTATTATGTATAGGTACTGCTTTGACTGCATCGAGAACTGGTCATCAGTATCGAACATGTGTCCTCTCTGTAAATTGCAGTTTCGGTTTATATCTGTAAGTATACTTCAAACATAAGATTTGACTTATTGGTGATCTTTGTGTACTGATCATGCAAACAGGATTCTGTTTGCTTGGAAAGGTAATTGCTGCTCGTAGCTGGGAAAAACCACAAAGCAGAATAGCAGCGTTGATTTTGTCAAGGAGCCATACGATATTGTCTGCATATTCATTCTACCGGACAAGTTATCTGCAGATAATCTGGTTAGGGCCCCCGTACCTTTGTAGAAGCATTTGACTGAAATTTTCATGCCTGTAGTGGCTAATTTGTGCAGGTGGAGAATGTGCATTGTCAAGAGAATGATAAATTGGAAGACTACTGTTCTTTTCCTTCGAAACAAGAAAGGTTAAAGGCTCACCAACCTGAATCAACACATGGTCTGCACATGCCTTCCGTGCTGCTTTTGACAGTATCATTTTGCCTGTTTGTGACTTACCTGCTTTAGCTACTATTCAGGGATGACGAATCGTGGGGCTACGAAGATCCCCTTTCTTTATCGTTCCCTTCTTTTTTCATCGATGAAGATGTAAGCTCTTAATCTCGTTTTTTTCGTTCCTTGTTTTTGAATAGAATTTGCTATGAAAATGTAAATGGCATAATTATATGGAGGAACCGCTCAGGGTATGATAAAGTTGCACTGAGGATTCTGTGTCCGCTTGTATATTGAAAGCAATGTCCACAAAGATGAAATCTTAGTTTTTGCTTGCGTATTTCCAGGCGGTAGCATGCTTAGAGGGAAACAGGTGTCTTGTTCGAGCTGGGATACCTCTTCAGGATGAAGACGCAGCTGATACTTCTGTTGCGTGTGATTCTTGTGACCGCTGGTAAGATATTTTGTTTGGCGGATCGCATGCTCGATCCGCGAGGAAAAATTAACTTACCATGGCAGTGTGATCTTGGGATATTTATTTGCCTTTTATCTTTCAGACGACTACCTTTGTACTTGGTTTGTGCGCAATTTTTTTTTTTTTTTTTTTTTTTTTTTTTTTTTTTTTTAAGAACAAGTCTTCTCTCAACCACTTCCTGACATTGAATTCAATCTGATAGACGAAGTGGATTCACTCTTCCAGGTACCATGCTGGATGCGTCGGTTTTGACCCTTCAATTTCCTGGGGCTCATGGTTGTGTCCAAGGTAATAAGCATTCGCAGTGTTGTCTTCATAGATCTTGGCTTCGTATCTTTCAAATATCAAGATCTGAATTACGTGAGGATTAAAAGCTTTAAGGCCTTGTTTAAAATGTATTACCTTGTCTGTAGGTCAGATTAATATCTTGCATTACCAGGAGCTTCATATGCATCAACTTGCGATGTTTGTAACTACTGAGACGATGTTTGCTGACTTTAGGTGCTCTGAGAATGCTGCTGATTTGCGAGCTCCACCAGCAGCGTCCCTCCCATCTATTTTGCCTCTCACAACTGTGGTTTCTTCATTTACAAGTGGTCAAGTGCCTGTGGCGGAGCTTGCATTTAGTGCTCCAGTTTTCACTGGGAGCGACCCTACGGTTTCAGTTTCAGTTGTTGATGAGGGAGAATCAGCTTTGGTAATTTCTAGTGTAGCGGTTGAGTCTACAAATATACTCCCTCCGAAGTTGGAAATTCATCAAGCACGCACTGATACAGGTTTTGTTCTGGTCTGAATATACTGCTGTTAATGAACCTTCATATTTTTTTATATTAGAACTCATATCATAACGTCTGATTCTGATTGGTAAGGATTTTACTCCATTTAGACCACGCAATTCAGCTTTTGAAGTTGAAATAACGTTGTTCAGATTTCATTGTTCAGATCCTCGTGGACAAGCATCAGTAATAGTTAAAACGGAAGAAGTTACTTACACCCCTTTAGATGATAAGGTATTTTGAGTTTTTACATGCATGCTGTTCCTTATCGTGGCTACACTCTTTCATGCTTTTTTCTTTCTGAAGTATACATTTGCCCTTGAGGAATCGTGATATTCTGGTGCAGTTTTGGTGTTCTCTTTCAGAAAAGCAGAGCGATTGAGATTCCGATGTATGCGTGTTCCTTACATATCTCAGTCCTGTTGTTTCAAAATGCTAATATGTTGGTTGGCTATTGTTTCAGGTAGCCAATGTTCAAGTCCCTGGTTCATCTGCATTTGAGAAAGTGGACATTGTCATGCAGAAGGCTGTGGATTCATCTTCTGTTCCGTTTGTTCTGAATCTCTCAGAGCCTGGGACAACTAATCCCACGAGAGATCTGGTGGATAGGAGACTCAAAGAGACAACCGGTTCTTCCATTGAACCGATTACATCTGTCAAGACCGAGCAGTGCGATCTTCCGGTTGTAGCATTGCAGGGTTTGCAATTATCGCAGCGTAAAGAACTCGAAGCGGATCAAGTAATACCAGACATCGCAGAAAGCGCTGATTTACCGGCAAGCTACTTCGATAATGTAGAGTTTGAAGAACAACCTAGAAAGGAGAAGCGGAAGCAAATAACAAGACAAGATCGGTAGGCTTAACATCTTTTCAAATCGAAACTGAAAAAAGCTGGAATCTGGGACTTGTAGAATTGAGAGTTTGCAGAGTATACTTTCTGTGTCGTGTTCAAACTTCTCTCAATTCTTTTCTGCAATGCTCGATCAGTAATTATCAAAAATGTCTGTACTAGTTGTGCATGAGCATAGCGCTGGGTTTGTCAATTATCATTTAGTGGGGAAAATTCTAGATCGTATGGCACTTTTGCAATTTATATTAGCAAGAATCTAGATCTTATGGAAAATTTTCAAATAGTGTTCGCTCTGGAAGTCTTCGATTGATTTACACTGAGTTTTTTATGCAGGGATTTTGTTCGGGCGGAAGACCTGCCCGAGCCACCTCGAAAAGTAGCCCGCTCTGCCTCGAAGAAAAAAGATATTGTGCAAGAATCCCCTTGTGGTCTGCCTTTAGAGAAATCAACTGTTCATTCAGCTATGGATTCTAAAGCTTCTGTTACGAAGGTGACATCTCTTGCTGCCAAAAATAAAATTGATCACAAAATTCCCTACACAGAAAATGTGTCTTTGGAAGACCTTGTGCACTTAGTGAGGGATAAGCACGCAATTGCTAGCGGCATAATTAAGGAGGAACCAGGAGGTATTGAGAGCAATTCGGCAGGTGGAGTACGAACTAGGATGGTCATGCGTAGGGATTCTGATGGGAGAGCTGCTCAGATTGTTGAGGACATCCGTCAGCAAATGCGGGCTGCCTCAGGCTATGGAGCAGCTGATGATCATGGCAAGGTGGCAGTGTCTGATGATAGGTTCTTTTCAGCGTTCAAGGTGATGACCATTACCTAGAACTCCGTCTACTTTCTCACTTATTGTATTTCTGCTTAATTGATGACTTACATCCAGTTGTTTGCGGCTCAGGCTGCCATGGTTCGCAATAATGAGCAAGCACAGGGTTCTAAATCTAAGAGTTTGAAACGGCGACGAAATTCCTGGTTAGAGAGGATGCTGGATAAAGCTCCTCGTGGTAAGGCAGGAGGAGTTCGGGAGAGCTTGACCAAAAAATTATATGCTGGAGGAGTGGCTAGGAAGACCTGGGATAGGGATTGGGACGTTTCTTTTTGGAAAGAACAGTCAGCACGCATCAAGAAGGCTAAACAAGAGGCATCAGATGTTGTAGAAGGTAGAGCTGGTATGCGGGGAGGAGAGATTTCAAAGGGTACTATTACAGTTAAGGAGGAAATGATTCTGGAGAGGCTGAAGAATGTTAATAATGAAGGCGATTCCATTTTAAGCAGGCTATATGTTGCAGATACATCATTATTTCCGCGAGATAATGACATCAAGCCTTTAGTTAATTTGCTAGCCGATGTAAAAGAAGAGGGCAAGCCGAAGTGTTCTGGAGGTGAAAAAGGTATGCTAAATAGCACTTTTGAGACTTTATCTGTTTACAAGATTATAGTTATGAGTGATATTCAAATGCAGGTTAAAAAGCTTATGTTGTCTCAATACCGCTTTGTCGAATTTTTTCTCTGGATTTGCCCCTTCACCACCTCTTTTCTGTTCAGAAATTAGCTGCAGAAGTCGATGTGAAAAGAGTCTAAGCTAACCGAATTTTCTGAATGCATCGCAGCTACATCTGTGCCTAAGAACTCGATGAAGGCCCCGAAATGTTCCAGCCAAAAAGCTACTGAGACGAAGATTACTCTGCTCAGTGGAGGAGGAGGTGCTTCAAACAAAGGGGCATCCATTCCCCTTGTGCAGGATCTGAAAGTTCCTTCTCGTGATACTTCAGAGAATACCAGTAAAGTTAAAATGAAAGGGTCAGGTATGCCAGGAACGCTTAAACATGTTGAATCTCCGGTGAAACCACCAAGAGCTTCAGATTCTGATGGGAAGAAAGATAAACGTCAATGGGCACTTGAGCTGTTGGCCAGGAAGTCTGGAGATGCTACGGCATCATCATCAGCAAAATCTCACGGAGGAACTAGAAACGAGTTCCTTCTGGTATGATTGTCGATACCACCAGAACTTGCAGCTGAAAGATTTATTTCCATTTGAAGTAATTTCCTGGAATTAAAATTAGATAAGAAGTCATAATTCTTTTTTGTGTTTGTTTTGTTGAGTTCCTTTATACAGCAGCTTAATGGGCTTCTCTATATCTGCCATATCATACATTATGCACCTTCTGGGTCGTGAAACTAGTGGCTAGATAGATCTGCGTCTTGATGATACTTGGCTCCTTTTCGGATTTGACGCATGTTTGGTGACCTTTTTTCTGAATAACAGAGCCAGGTTCCTGAGGACCTGAGGCCCACTCTGCCACCTGATCGTCGAAGCAGAGTCCCGACTGCAGTTCGACAGGTACTGGTGCACATTATTTTTACTTTTGAAAGTCTTAATTTTTCATGTTATTCTGTCACCATAATTCTAGGTTGATTATTTTTTTCACTCGTGCTAAATTCGACATTCATTAACTTGGTACTTACGTAATAGGTGGGAGCTGCTATGTATAAGTAAATAGTAGTAAACTAATAAACCATGATCACTACCATCTTATTTTAATTTAATTAATATTTTAAATATTCTAAGTGTATTTTTATACTCCGATTTATAATAATACATTAAGCTAATATAGTGTGCCTTACAGTAATTGATATAATGACGTAGTGGTTATCTAATCCAACGGTAGTAAACACTCAATTTGACATTGCTACAGGGCCAACTAAATCGAATTCTTGAGCACTATCTGCGAAAGGCAAAATTGGCTAGTCTTCAAGGGGGTTACAAGTTGAAGTCTTTAATCGCATCTGCAGTTGCCAAGGAGCTGGAGATCTATGAGCAGTCCAATACCAAAGGCGTGTACGTGAATCTTTGTGTTAGGGCCTTGGCTCAACAAGATGAAGTGAGGCTTCAAGTTACCGTTCCTAAACCTAAATCTGAACCTGCTCAATCAGACGGAGCGGGTGCTGTAAATGAGGCGTTGCTAGCCACTGGTCTTATTTCTGATTCCCCCCCTGGGAGCCCCCTTGAGCAGCAAAATGCTACTACACCAAGTCGTGATGTGTTAAACGACCAAGCGCTAGAAAACTCACCAATTCGGGACCAAGCTGCGCTATCAGGAGTCTTTGTAGGAAGCAAGGATGCTACGCTTTTAGTACATTCTCAGGTCGAAAATGCTGGAAACGTCCTGAATGTATCCAAACCCGTATCTGACGTTCATGAAGAATTAGACCTGGACTTAGGGGAGGTGAAAACTTGTGACGGAGATCATGGAAAAACACTCTGTGCCAATATCTCTCCAGTACACCCAGTATCTCCGAAGAACAAGATGAAGGCTGTTCTCATTTCGGGAAGTGACACCAATTTTCGTGACGTGATCGACAACGAAAGGCTTTCTGAAGAGCCTAGCTCAGGAAGAGGTACAATTACAGTCGCTATGTGCTCTATGAATATGGTACTCGGTTGTGGCTGCCGTGAAACGATGTTTAGAATTCAACACTAGTATTGTATATCAACTTTTCTGTGAAGCGCCTGCTTTGCATCAAATTTTCAGTGACCCTATAGCATGGACTGCTTATGGAATTATCAAGGAAGTAATATCGTACTCTATCAAACTTCTGAATCCTATTTATGCTACGTAACTGCGGTGTTGTCTCTGTAGAGATTGATATGGGTGTCGAAGCGGGGAAGGCCGACTCCAAGGGTAGTTCAACAGCGGCGTATCCACAAAGTAGGTCCTTCATAAATGATCAAAGCACTTCAAGCCAAGAAGTAAAGCACGTGGATATGCATGTAAGTTCTACCACAAAGTTCACCGATGGTCTAAAGACGGAAGCAACGATTGCACTTAGCAAAGTAGGTGAAGAATGTTCCGTGGTTCCTGGTGAAGGTCGGGCATGTGTAAAATATCCGAAGGATGCTGGCAAGGTGGGAGGTGTACCTATTCGATCAGGTGTCGAGCCCGAGGGAGATGATTGGATGAAAACTGGCAAGTTCCCGGACTTGGACAGTCGCATTGATAAAATGAGGAAGGACGTTCTGAAGATGAACTCCACCTTTTTGTCTCAATTTGATGAGGAACATGTCTTTGGGGGTTCACTCCACAATCTTACTTCCACAGATGAAGTTTGGCCGGAGGGTGGAAATGCTGGAGCAGTTGCTTCTACCTTGAAAGTGGGAGCAGGTGATGCTTGCATTTCAAATCGAAAACATAACGGATCTAACCATGGTGGAAAAGAGGCCGAGGCATCAATATCAGTTCAGAAACAGGTAAGTTTAATTGATTTCCATGTTCCATCACTGAGAAGTCGTCTTTTCAGCCCAAGTTTTGATTTCGAAATGAGCATTTCAGGGATACTTCATTCGATGTGTTTGCTAGTATTTGTTGAAACTCAAAATTTTGCAATTAGAGACGCAACTGATCTTGTTACGAAGCTATGATGACCTGCAGGTAGAAGCATACGTAAAAGAACACCTGAAACCTCTGTATAAAAGTGGGGTGATCAAGTCTGATCAATTTCGGTTTGCAGTATCAAAAACTGCCTCCAAGGTCATGCTGCATCACGGAGATGCGACCTCAGCAGAATTTTTGATTGTTGAGGGCAGTAAAGTCAAGAAGCTAGCTGATCAGTATCTTCAGAGCTATGTTCAGAAGAAGTGAAACGACTTCTTTTAGATAAATCTCATGATTCCCAGAGTGAGGGAAGTTCACTGGCACAGATGTGCATGTGCATGATTCCTTGTTTTCGTACTTTTCTATCATATTTTTGCCATGTACTTGAAAACAACTGGGTTCCGAAATTTCTCCCTCGTGTATACCCAAGCTGTCGTGAAGGCTCCGGAAAAGCCATTAAGGGGCTTAAGGGGAAAAAGCTTATGCTTACAAAATGAGAGAGCTTCGGTTTTTTTCTAGGTGAATGTTGAAAATTATGTGGAACAAATATGTGTCGGATACTCCCGGGATGTAAAAAACTGTTCTACGTAGAATGACAGATTATGGTTCAATCTTTTGCACACAAGGGCCAGGAGAGAGACCGATAGAAGCAGGAACAGAAAAACAAAAATCGAGACTGTGCACATTGTGTATGATCCTTTCTGAATCCTCCAATGTTCAGCATGTTGGAATCATGCCAAAGACATGGTGGAAGTGATGGCAATGTTCAATCCTCTCATGTCCAAGTGATGATGGAAAGGTGGCAATCTACAGTACTGGCCGTAGCTGTTAGTATTGGTTTGTCTGTTGTTTAAGGTTGCAGATGAATGAGAGTTGTCAATCAGTTGAATAGATATAATAGTTAGAAGAATTACATAATGTACATGGAAAGTTTTTGCAATTATTAGTGTGAATGGGACAGAGTTTGGTTGTGGGATGGGATTGTAACAACTGCCACTAGTTTGGAGAAAAGTGTGTCTTTAGAATGTTTGTATTGGGTGTTCAAATTTTTGAAGCATGTTAATCAAGTGTGGTTGGACTTATTGGATTCATGACATTGTTTGCATTGACCTAAGTAGAGTGCAATTTGGATGACCAATTTTTAGTTTGTTTTGTTGAGTATAGAATTAAAGTGTAGGTGCTATGTAGATGACCAACCATTGCAATATAAATGTATTCTTGTAATCTTATACCAAAATTATTCAATAAAAATACCTTAGTAGAAGAGGCTTTGACTTTTATTACTAACAACATTGTGCATTTGTAGGAATTGTAGACAAATTCAATTATCAATTGGTACAAGTTACAAAACTAAATATACATTTGTCCATCATTAGAATTTTTTTTAATATTAAAATTAAAATGTGGCTTGCATGTCTTTAAACAAGTGAGTTGGGTTCATTGTACTATAGGTCTTAGAACACTTATGATTATAAGCTTCTTTGAGGTTATTTTAGAATAAGTTGAATTTAATGGCTTCATGTATTTTATTATTGAGATTAATGGAATTGTAGACTTTGTAGGCATGCATAGCTAGGTACATACTATCTTAATAAATGGATAATATTAACAGTCTTTTGAGTAGTATTAGACTAGATGCTTATTTGTAAAGTCAATAGCATTGGCAATACAAGATGTTAGGAGGTTGAAACAGACTACATTTAAATAGAATGAATTTTTAGGTATTTTGGAAATATGAAGAAAAAAATTGCCATCAAAAAATGCAATGGGGATCTAGAAATAGGTAGAAATAGTCCCAATACGTTGAAAATGCCAAAGGCTCTTCTATTAGATTAACAACTTTTCAATTTGGAGTTTGTTGGTCAAGAGTGGTTTAAATTCAAAACTACAAATATGAATAAGTGAATAGCCATTTCCTTTTCTTGGTTAAATATGTTACAAACATATCTAATATTTATAATTATCTTAATAAAGAGAATTAGGTAGAAATAAATAAAAGTAAGTAAATTAATAATATTTTTTAATGTAGCTTCTTAGAAGTTCATAGATGTAGATTTGACTTTATACATGTCTATAGATAATTAGTAGGTTGAAAAGTAGGCCAATAAGTTGGTCACGTATTGTACATATTAGCAACTTTTGGTAGAAGTTAGCCATGTGGCATAGATATAGGAAACTTGTCTTGCAAGTTAGATAAGTGCTCCATAAGTTAGGCATATGTTGGATGTGCTTTAAAGGTTGCAAACTACCTACCTTTAAATAATTTTATATTTTAAATATTCATTCTTTTCTTATAAAAATAGATTATCTTTTTTTTGGAATTTTTTTATTTAATATTAGATATTACAAATTATCCTCTTTCAACTTAACTTGTACATCTTTTTAGAATCATGTATTATAGAGTCAAAAAAAAGTTATAGATGCTATACCTAGTAAAAATGAGAATAGATTTGTCACTATTGAAAATCTTTTTTTTTGAAAAGAAACAAAAGAAATGGCTTGGAAATGATTGATCTCCAAAAGATCTATCATTGCCCTTTAAGAATGACATTAATTTCTCATCTTATGTTCTTCTTTGTTACTAGTTTACAATCTAATAGAAACTTCCAAATTCATATGTCCTTTAATTATTGGCAAATCATTAATATTAAAGAAATGTATTGTAGGCAACAAAAACTTAAATCAAGATAATATATGATACCTATACTAAAACGAGGTTTAATATCTAGAATTAATACTTTAATTTTATATCATCTCTAAAATACATAATTAAGTTGTTAGAATATACTTTGGACCTTAAGCTTCTACTTAGTACATATATTGATTCTTTTTCATCAGTTGCAAGGGAAGATACTCATTTGCATGAGCTATAAAATTAACAAAATCATCCTTGATTGAACCTACATATCCTCTTTTGCAAAGAGGTTCTTCTCTTCCCTTTATACTCTATTCAATAAAGTTTATATCTATCTACATTTTGCTTCACAATTGAATCTTCTACCACATTGGATTAGTCATTTATTTTTTATTTTTTATTTTTTATATTATACTATATATATATATATATATTCTTAATGTGAATAGCCTCTTAACATCTACTCATTCAACATGGCTTTTCTTTTGTCATGCATTGCATTCATAATTCAATTATGTATTTATTGCATATTTCCTTTATAACTTGTTTGTGCTTCCATTGTGCATTGCTTTTGCAATTTGATTGTACTTTTGCCATGCATTGCCTTTGCAATTTAATTGTAGATGTCCATATTGAATGTCAATAGACAATGTATTATGGCACTATTAGCTGGAGCATATTTATACACTTAGTATAGCAATATAGCCATTATAACTATCAATTTTGACGTTTTTTATAATTTCATGTATATAAGGCAATTGTCATGGTGCAATTGGTGTCTTTACAACATCTTGATACTATTCTTTTTGATAAAATTCTACCATGTCTACATTTGCTCTCCACACGTCAATGTAGGATCATGGAAGAATATTTCAGTCATATCAAATACCTTCCCAGCCTTTGGTGGTGCCTTGGCTTGACTAGCTATTCTACCTAATTACTCTTTGTATTGATTTTCTTCTCCGATTAGGTAATCTTGGTTTATACTATCATATATTTGAAACATAATTTCTCTATATCAATAATGTTATGAAAATTTGTAGACAATTTGAATTTGATATGAATTTTTGCTACAATATAGCTCTTCTATAAGTTCAAAGTATCTCATAAGGTCTTTGCTTTTTATTTTTTTATGTCTATTCAATCTCTCTTCAAAGCAAGTGGTGGCTTGACTCTTCTATATTGCCATCAACCATCTTCATAGTATAATTTGCTATAAGATTTTTTCAACTAAATATACTGGTGATTGCTTGATTCATTTTAATGGTCATTTAGAGATTCTTTTCATCCATTATCATCTAATCAATGCAATTTTTTAATAAGCTTGGCCAACATTCTTCTCTTACATCTTTCAAAAAAGCTTATGATGGTTTGAAGAATTCTTGCTCTTTTGACAATCAATATAATATATTGATGGTTGCATGTTGAATGTATGTGTGGATGTTTGTTAGATTGCACTACAAGACCTCCATATCTTGGCAAAGATATATATATATATATATATATATATATATATATTTATATATATATGTTGAAGAAATTCAAGATGTGACAAATTGTATTTACTACATATTCTAATCTTTGTTCTCTTTGAAGATGGTTGATAGGGCATCTCAACCTTCAATAGTGTCCCATACTAGGGCAGGAAGACCACCTAGTTATTTGATTGTTGTTGAGACTTTCATAACTTTGTTCAAATAAAACATTTAAAATACCATTAGGAGTTGTTCTTATTTCTAGTAAAATCACCAAACATTGGAAGTCCCTTCTAAAGTCGTAATACCAAATGCATTATATCTTGCTATCTACTTGAAGAAGAATATGTTGTTCTTGAAGATCTCTATTTCAATTGCATTGTCTTGAAGGTTGTAACAATCATAATTTCTTATTTAATAGGTTAGCAAATGATGGCTCTTAAGTCAAATCTGTTGGTTGTTAATTCTCTATTTTTTTAGTATCACAAATACAATGCAGCTATAATAAGGATAGAAAGTAAAATATTATCTTACCTAGATCTTGTTTCTTTTATAGAGAAGATTTTTATCTTGGTTTTAATGGATATTGTTGATGAAAAGCCTCCACCTTCTTTGCTGCAATTGCAAGATTTTTTGTAAGCTCCCATGTACGTTTATTAATATTATATCCCTATCAATAAAAAAGATATTCCAATTTATTTTGGTGTCGCCTTGAGTCTAGAACTTCTTCTACTTCAAACTCTTTATTATTATCTACTTCTAGAGAAAGACGTAGGACTTGTCTTCTTTTTGGTATGCTCACAATCTTGTATGGTTCAAGAAGAGACATGTGAAAAATAAGATGGAACTTTATTGACCGCAATAGATATAATCGATAAGCAATTGGATTGATTTATTTACAAATAAAAAAAAAGACTAAGCCTATGCTAGTCCAACTTATCACAAAGACAAATAATCTTGATATTATGATAAAGTAACCATACCTTATCACTTACATTAAATTATGGTTATTCCTTATAATATACATCTGTATTGATCTTTTGTTTTTCTTGAGCTTCTTTTAATTGTACATTCATTGTTGCATGTAACTCAGATAAATAATTTGCCTAATCTTTTGTCGTAGGATTATCAACTTTTGAAAAGTCAAAAGTATCAAATTATAGATGATAATCATAATTAGCAAAGAAAGATGTTTGTTGCATAGAAGAATGCATCATATAATTATAAACAAACTTTGCTAATGGCAAGAAGGTTCTTCAATCTTCTTATTGATAATTGATTGTATACCTTAAATATTGCTCCAAAACTTGATTTATATGCTTCATCTGTTCATCAATTTGAGGATAAAAGGTCGAAGATAGCTTTATGTCTATCTTTAAAATCTTGAAAAGGTTTCTCCAAAATCTTGATATGAATTGAGCCCTTTTATCCAATATAATATCTTTGGATAATCTATAATATTGATAAATATTGTTAAGAAAAAACTTGGCTATTTCTTCACCTGTGATAG